GCGTGCTGCAATTATCTTCGTTATTATCTTGTAAAAAAAACATTGCAGCACGCGATTGGTCTAAAATCCTCGACCCTTTGATCGTGCATCTTCTTGGGGATTAAGGCAATAACGGTATGATTCCATTGCTTCAACAGTTGCCCATTTCTGAAAAATTCCATCACTGCCGCTATGACCAGTGAACCAATCCGCGTTCCAATTAACTTTGAAGAAAGCGGCAGTGTACCCGTCGGGCCCCGGAGCTTTGTCATTACCCATAGAGAATAAAGCTTCCTTTATTTCTTCTTTAGAGATTGGGGCCACAAGGTTCAAAGCTTGATCGGCAGAGACATTGGAGTCCATGGCCAAAATATGTATTGTCCGTTCCATTCCTTTCTCTTGGGGTGCCAAATAAATCAGAGAAAAATTTTACAAACAAGCTGCCCACTTGATTGAGTGAAGTAGTTAGGTTCCCATCTTGATCAAGGATTGCAGCTAGAGTTGACGCTGCATTTCTTTTATTTATGAGGCTATGAAAATAGTGTGATCCCTTATCTGGCCTCAACCAAGTGGACTGTATTCAATTTTTGCGCAAAGAACCGTCTTTCAGCCTCCATCAAGAACAAGGCCCTCTTCCGAAGATCATTAACATAAGCCCTCTCTTGTTCATTCGCGTTTAGGACATCCAACTCATCTTTGCGCAACAGAGTAGGCTTCTTTCGCCGACTCGGGTTCTCTCCGAGATGTGGCTGAACGCATTTCTGTTAAGAGTGCGAAGAGGTCCTTTAAGAGACTTAAGTTTCTTGGCCAGAATATACTGCTTCGATCCCTCCACATGCCTCTCTCCACACATTTTCAAAGAGTAACTTTGAAGTCCTGGTGTGTGAGCCACATGTTTAAAATTTGAATGGCCTTTTTCCGTCACTTATAGCAATGGACGTAGTTATAACTACGGGACAGTGATCTGAATTGCATGCCAACAACTTGAAGTCTGCCATGCATGTTAACCCGTTGGCTCCCCATCTATCATTGATCAGTACCCGATCCAGCTTGGCTTCCATATACCTATTTCTCCACGTAAAAAATTTTCCAGTAGAAGGGCAGTCCGTTAGATCCATGTTCGCACAGCAATTCTCCAAATCCTGAAGCTCATATCTAGTTGGTTCGTTTCCTCCCTTCTTTCAGATGGTGATAACACTGTATTAAAGTCACCTGAGATTACCCATGGTTCAACAATCAATAGTCCAAGTGCTTCAATCTTCTCCATAATTGCCTTCTCGCAACTACAGAAAAGAGGCCATAGACAAAAGTACAAAGAATCTTCTTCTGAGAAATCTTGCATAGGAATGAGACAGTGGACATGTTGAGTCCAGTCTCAAGGATTGAGCAGTCTACTAGCGGCTGGGTTCCATGTAACAAGAATCCTTCCACCAACCAGTATCATGGAAGTTGGTTGCAAGCTTCCATCCATTCTTTCGGTTTTTAACGAACAAGTCAGCTTTCTCAATCGACAATTTAGTTCCAGAAGTGCAATAACAGATAGTTTATTGTTCCAAACGAAGTCCCAGACTTCTTTTTGTTTGAGGGGTTGATTCAAACCCCTCACATTCCAAGTTCCGATCAACATTGAGCAACGGAGGTGGGTGCTCGCCGACCCACCGCCGCCAGCCACTTTGTTAATCCCAAGTGGCAGGGATGTCCGAGATGTTTTCTTTTGCTTCTTAGATTGGCGGGGATCGTCTTCTTGCCCCAGCCACCACACGAGAGGGCTCTATGGGTAAGGTGACAACATTTTCTTCTTCATTTTCTGCCTGTGGATCCGGATCAACTTCAGAGACAGTCTCAAGGTTGCATGGAGGTTCAAGGCAGCTTCTGCCGCCTTCCTAGCCTTTCGGGCCTTTCTTCTAGCAGATTTTGACAAAGCAGCTTCTTCTTTGTCGTTACCGGCCTCCTCTTCAATTTCAGGAGGTGGTGGAGGGATTGCACCTCAACTTGTGGAATTTCTGCGTCAGATGTCTCATTTGCGGCCTCATCTCCAATCTCAAGAGGTGGTGGAGGAGATTGCACCTCGACTTGTGGAGTTCCAAAAGGTTGTTGCAAAGGTGTAGCTACAATATCTTGCACTCCTGTACCATCTTCGACTACCACCAGTGCTGCCTCATCAGTTCTCTTTTCTGCCACATCCTCTTCGTCACCCACAACAGCCTCACACACATCCGTAGCTAACAAGAGCTTGAGTCTCGGTATCACCATTCTCATTCCCATGCCCAGCATCCACATTTCTTTCCCTTAGATTACATTCAACACGAGTCAAGGGCATTTTTCTGTTATGTGTCGGCCTCCCCACACCCGAGTGCAAAAGGGCACCCAGTTCTGATAAAAAATATTCTGTTCAAACGTTGATCCGTCAGGCACCTCAATGGCGATGTGTTCCAGAGGCTCTAAGGAGCAGTCAACATCCACGAGCACCCTAGCAAAGCCTATTTTCCTCCCATCCAAAGTAGATTGATCCATGTACAGA